CGAGAAGAATACACAAGATGCCGGAAGTAGTCATTCTGTACCAAAAAATTGACGCTGGCCTTTCCGACTGATATACACAGATCAATGGAGTGCTTGGTAATACTCTTTGAGCAATCCACAATCCAGTAATTCGTAGTGGAAGAATTGGCGGTCTGTGTGAGGTGGATTCTCAAAAAGTATGGACAACTACTACACTGGCACACAATGTTATAAAAGTAGTGTCTGCCAGGATCCACAGTCCTAATGCCTCTGCATCCATGCTCCAAATTGATTCGTTCAATATAGCCCGTACATTCTTTTCTTGACAGGAAATGTTGGCCCTGCAACAGGGCGGCGTGGTCACGCAAGGGCCGGTCCTTGAAACATGCCGCACGACGAGTGAAAGAACATCCCCCATGATCCAAGTCTGCGGCCGAATCCGCATACACAGGCGCATCCGCGGTCAAATCCAAATCCGGTTCAGACTCGGAGTCTGAACCGATGAACGGGCTTGCCAAGTCGAAACCGTGAGAATCAGATGTGTCGTGTGTGACTGCCGCCGCAGAGGGAGAGGTAATGGCCGCTTCCACATTGAATGATATGGTGGCAGGCGATCCCCGGGCCTGAGGCAAGGCAGATTGTATCGGAGGCTCTCCGATGGGAAATGATTCGGGTGGCAGCCTGACAGTGGGTGTGAACTGCTCGTTGGAAGGTATACTGGACGGGCCAAAAAACTTGTTCGCCAACCACTGTGCAGCAGGCCACAAACCAACAGCTGCTGGTTCGGAGGGGTATGGTAGTCCGGCCAACAAAGGGTAAGCCGCACGCAGAACGTCTTCGCAAGACAATTCAGGGGGCAGATCCAGTTGCGTACGGAATGTTTGTATGATAGAGATGAATGACATACTACTTGGCGATACTGCCGTGCCACTAGGCACCGTGCCACGGTGCTGCCAGTGGCCGAAGTAGGGGACATGATGCCTCAAAACACACCGGTGTGTTTGACTGATAGACTGGTACATGGGGTAGGGTGGACCACCGACCCCATCATGTGACACCGGGGTACTGGATAGTACCGGTATTTTTGATACCAAGTCCTGGTTATGAAGGGGGTAGCCGCTGTGGGCTTCGAGGGGTGGGTCATGGGGAGGGGTCCGAACGGAGGGTTTAAAGGGGGGTGGAGGGGTGGGGTAAAGTTCCAAAATGGAGAGTTGAAAGTTTGAAAGTTGATTTTGATTGGAAAATGATTGCAAAAGTATACGGTTACGACCGTTTCAGATACGTGTAACGGTACGAAACGGGGAGTTTTGATTGGAAAATGATTATTGTTTCAAAAGTTGATTGGAAAATGATTACTGCAAACTTTCGTTGATTGGAAAATGATTACTCCAAAAATTTGTTGATTGGAAATTGATGATTGCCCGCCCCCGGGATCCGGAGCTGGAGGAGGCGGAGGGTTCAGAGGCACAGCATGTCACGGTCGACCAAGACGTACTGGAGCGGCAGCACCTACGAAGGGGAGATGAAGGGAGGCAAGAGAGAGGGGAAGGGCAGGAAGACATGGAAGAATGGTCTGCGATCCCTCTCTCCCTCCCCTCTCTTCTCCTCCCCTCCCCTTCCCTCCCCTCCCTCCTCTTCCTCGCTCCCTCCCCTCCCTCCTCTTCCTCGCTTCCACCTTCCCTCTCCTCCCTCCCCTCCCTCCTCTTCCTCGCTTCCACCTTCCCTCTCCTCGCCCCCTCTCCTCGCCCCCTCCATGTATCCGCCCATCCTCCCAGCCCTCCCAGCCTTCCTCCCCATCTTTTGATCAAGATGGGGTGCAGGTGACGTGTACGAGGGGGAGTGGAAGAACGACAAGAAGGATGGGCAGGGCAAGTTGGTCCTGGGCACCGGCAACAGGTACGAGGGAGCATGGCGAAACGGGCTGCAGCACGGCCATGGGATGCTGTGGTACACGGACGGCAGCTCGTACAAGGGCGAGTGGGTGCGGGGAAAGGCAGAGGGGCAGGGTATGTTCGTCAAGGCCAACGGAAACGTGTACGAGGGGAGCTACATGGAGGACAAGTGCCATGGGTACGGCAAGTACACGTGCACCAACGGGAGGTTCTACGAGGTGAGGGGGGAGGGGGGACGGGCGTCAGCAAGTGACGTTGTGGGCGCAGGGAGAGTGGAAGCACGGGATGAAGTCGGGGAAGGGGGTGTACTCGTGGGAGGACGGGAGGCTGTTCCAGGGGACGTTCGTGCTCGACTGTCCCCTGGAGGGAGTGATGCAGCACAACGGCGTCCAGACGCGCGTCAGCTACGATGGGAGGACCAAGTTCAGCGACAGCGCGCTGAGGAGGAACGGGGCCCATCACGACAGCGGCATCGAGAACAGGATGGTGGACGACGACGACTTCGAGGAGACTGTACCCCAGGGGCTCAATCCAGGAGGCGTGCGCAAGGAGGAGGTGGGGAGGGAGCGGATGGACTTGAGGGCAGAGCATAAGAAGATCGATCGAGAATGGCAGGCTGTGGTGGAGCAGACGACTGCGAAGATGGGAGTGAAGCCCAAGGTCTCGTGCTTGCAGGGAGGGGACGCCCCGTGGGGGAGGGCGACGCTGCTCTGCCCCATCCTCAAGATGGTCCTGGTCGACCCTGTGCTGGCGGCTGACGGGTTCAGCTACGAGAGGAGGGCGATCGAGAGCTGGTTCATGAGGAACGGGCCCTGCAGCCCCGTGACAGGAGAGGAGATGAGCCTGGAGCTTCGCGACGACAAGCAGAAGCAGGAGGAGCTGCGGCTGTGGCGAGCGAGTCGCTCCTGGGCCATCGGTGAGGAGTATCTGACGGTGGACAAGAAGAGGGTGCTGGGGAAGGGGGCGTGGAGCATGGTGTGGATGGGGAGCCTGCGCTTCCAAGGGGAGGAGGCGGAGGTGGCAGTGAAGGGATGGCCCGAACTGGAGGAGGAGAGGGAGGTGAGGAGGAGGAGGGCCTGTGCTGCTGCTGCCTGACCTGAGAGCAGGAGCAGTTCTTCGAGAGGGAGTGGAAGACGCTCATGGCCTCTGTCGGGTGCCCAGGAGTTGTCCAGCTGATCGGGTCCTCCACCTGGACCCCAGGGAAGCGCTGCCTGTGAGACTCTTCCGGCTGTCTGACTAGTGAGCGATCGCTGACGGGGGGAGGGAACAGGATCTTTCGTCGGTACAAGATGTCACTCGTCGACTACGTCCTGTCCACCCCTTGGCAGGTGTCCTCCTCCTCCTCCCGCTCCTCCCGCTCCTCCTCACACCGCTCCTTCCCTGCCTGACCATGTCAGCGACTGACACTCTTGAGCTCCAGAAGGTCCAGGAGCATCTCCTCAAGTTCGTCTTCGATCTCTTCTCTGCTGTAAGGGAGCTGCATCAGCGTCGCATCGTCATCAGAGACCTGAATCCTTCCAACATCCTCCTGGTGAGCCTCCGTGACAATTCCTCATCTTCCTCCTTCTCTTCCCCGCCCTCTCTCCTCGAACTCCTAACCCTTTCCTCATCATGATTCTTTCTTGTCCAGGACGATCAGGAGAACCTGTACATCGCCGATCTAGGTGTTCTACTCTTCCTCTAACCCCCTGCTTTCGTCTTCCACTTCCTTCTTCTTTCTCCTCTTCCTCTTCCTCTTCCTCTTCCTCTTCTTCTTCTTCTTCTTCCTCTCCCTCTTCCTCTTCCTCTTCCTCTTCCTCTTCCTCTTCCTCTTCTTCTTCCTCTTCTTCTTCCTCTCCCTCGCCTCTCGGAGGCTCATCACCTCCTGCAGGAATCGCAGAGCTTCTTTTGCCTGGCGCGTCGTCCGTCAAGATAGAGCAGAGTCTCTGTGTGCATGCTGTTGCTCCCTCAGCTGACATGCAGCCAGGGGAAGGTACTCCCAACTACCTCGCGCCAGAGGCGTTCGGAGCAGGAGGGGGGGAGCTGGGCCCAGCCAGTGACGTCTGGTCTGCGGCAGCTTCGGTGTGCTATATGCTGGAAGGTCAGTCGAGACGTTCTGGTGCGTGCGAGTGAGTGCGGGGGGCAGGGAAGACGCCGTGGCACGGGATGCAGCACGGAATGATCCACAAGACCGTCGTCGAGCTTCGCATCGCCCCTGAGGTGACGGAGGTGGTGGTGATGGTAGTCATGGTGGAGGAGGGGGAGGGAGGGAGGGAGGGAGGAGACGCTGGTTGTCGTAGCCGAAGTAAGGGGGTGAAAGTGGGCATGCTGTAGGGTCCGGGGATCGTCCCAGGCTCCTGATTGTGATTGGCAGATCCCTTCGAGGATCGAGGAGCCGTTGAGGCATCTGCTGGAAAGATGCTTCTCCTACGAGCCCCAGCACGTGAGCGAGACGCTCTCAGTTCCCTTGTTCCTCTCACTCCTCCTCTTCCTCAGCGACCTCAGGCGTCAGACATCTTGGCTGTCCTGAGGAGAAGCATGAAAGGTAGGAGCAGAGGAAGAGATGGTTGTTCCTGCTTTCAAGGTGAAGCTGTGTAGGTGGCCACATCATCGTCGAGGTTGTTGATCATAAGAAGGTCAGTTGATAGACGTCTTGTGTTCCTGTCACTGCTGACTTCCTCCCCCCCCCCCCCCACCTCCTCCTCCTGCTCCTTCTCTTTCTCCTCCTCTTTCTCCTCCTCCTCCTCCTCCTCCTCCTCCTCCTTATCCTCCTCCTCCTCCTCCAGACCTTCTCTAGTCCTCCTCACGCACCTCCTCCTCCTCCTCACGAGGTGAGTTCTACTCGATCCTCGCACCTTCTCAGGACTTTCTCTCAGTCGATTCGAGCGACCCAAGACTCTCTTCCCAGGTCCTACAACCTGCTCGATATATAGGAGAGTCTTCGCGGTACATGCGAGTTAACAGTATCAACCTGATTCTGAAGTATCAACCTGATTCTAAAGTATACTTATCTCACTGTTTCTAACTGATGTTTCCTTCCATCAAACCTACATTCACTTCTGGTATACTGATATATTCTTCCATCAAAATAAAAACCTCTTCTATCACTACTCCTTTGCTCATTCCTCTCAGTCACATGGTTGAAGACGTGGCAGCCAGGTTTTTATTGATATGCTCTTCGAGGCGAAAGCAATGCCATTGTCGATACAAAGTCCCTCC